CTCAAAAAAAAAAAAAAAATCAAAAGGTTTGACAGTCTGGAGTACGGCAGGTGTGGTGAGCAGGCAGCCTTGGAAACCATAGCTTCTACCAGTGTTGAGAAAACAAAAGTTGGGGGAAATTCTCCAGAGACAATGAGAGGCCTCCCAGTATTTGAACTACTTTTTTTGTCCTTTAGAGTTGGAGTCTCACTCCATCATCACTCTGGCATGCTCAGTCACCCGAGCATCGACCTGCTGGACTCAGGTGATCCTTCTGCCTCAGCTTTCCAAGTAGCTGGAACTACAGGTGCATGCTACCACACCTGGCTAATTCTTTTTTATTTTTATTTTTGAGTTGGAGTCTCACTCTGTTGCCCAGACTGGAGTGTAGTGGCTGCTCCCGGCCACCGCAGCCTCGACCTGCTGGGTTCCGGCGATCCTTCCGCCTCAGCCTTCCAAGTAGCTGGACCTACAGATGTGCGCCACCACGCCTGGCTAATTTTTTTGATTTATTGTAGAGATGAGGTCTCGCCAAGTTGCCCAGGCAGGTCGTGAACCCGTGGGCTCAGGCAATCCACTCACCTCAGCCTCCCAAAGGCGCGGGATTACAGGCTGAGCCACCGAGCCCGGCTTCTTTTTTATTTATTGTAGAGATGAGGTCTTGCCAAGTTGCCCAGACTGTTCTCAAATCCGTGGGTTCAGGCAATCTGCTCAGTTCAGCCTCCCAAAGTGCTGGGATTACAGGTTGGAGCCACCATACCCAGCCCTGTTTCAACTATTAACAGAATCTGTCCCAGGCAGTGTTTTTATGTGAGAAGAGGCCAAAAATGAAAATTGCCACCAACCTGCTGCTTTCTGGTATGTGAGAGAAGTTTCCTAGAAAGTTACAAGTATAGCTGCAAAATGTTAGTAGTGACTAGGCACAGTGGTTCATGCCTGTAATCCCAGCACTTTGGGAGGCCAAAGTGGGAAGAATGCTTTAGCCCAGGAGCTAGAGACTCACCTGGGCAACATAGACTTCGTCTCTACAATAAATCAAAAAATTAGCTGGGCGTTGTGGCACACATGCGTAATCCCAGTTACTCAAGAGGTCAAGGCAAAAGGATTGCCTGAGTCTGGGAGGTCTAGGCTGTGTTAAGCTATGATTGTGCCACTCCAGTCTGGGTGAGAAAGTGGGACCCCTCAACTCAAAAAACAAACAAAAAAACCCCAGTAAGACTGGGACCCTTCAACATAACTTTTTCTTCTAAGACTGTGTACCTTATTTTGCAAGAAAAATTGGGTGTGGGTGACAGAGGAGGTACCCTTGTGCCCCCGTGGCAGTGGTAAGGCCCAGCCTGGGCCCTGTGCAGGGGCCAACCCAGAGGTGGTGAGTTTCAGGAGTCCATAGCAGCTGGTATCCGCACCCAGAAACGCACCCTCGCTCTGTCAACCTGGCCCTTGCCAAGCCCAACAACAGGACAGAACTATAAAACACAGCTTCTATGTAGTAAACGCTTATGGTGAGACTCAATAAGGTTTCTCTCCCTCCTTCAAAAGTCAGGCTGAATGCCCAGCTTCTTCCTCAGACAGAACTGCCGCTCGGCCCATGAACCCTCTCTTGGACCATCCAGTCTCTCAGAGGAATCCCATGGAACCCAAAGCCTCTTTGCACAGAGGGCTGTGGCTGGGGCCAGGTCACCAACAGCAGGCAGCTCTGAAGGCAGAGGCTGAGGCTGGGGCCCTGCTTCTGTTGGGGCTGCTTTCAAGTGACCACCCTTCCCAGCAATGGCAGAGGTGTCCTCACCCCCAGGCTGGCCATCTAATCTCTTCTGGCCGGGTCAGAGATTTTCCTCCCCAGCCTGTGGCCCACCTGGAAACTGGCTGCGGTACTTAGAGGAGGTGTGGAGGAGAGGGTGACTAGAGACAGGGTGGCAACGAGTGACCAGGCCAGGCGGGCCCCATTTCCTGAAACTGAGACTGGCGCCGCACAAGCCCTCGGAGGGGGACAGGCCACTGGCACATGCACAAGTAGCAGGCCAGAGAGGGGACCCCAAGTGTCTCCTCCACAGAGAGAGGATGCTATATACAGGGAGAGGAGGGGAGGTCTGGGCAGGAGCACCCCCACTGCCATCTCATTCAACCAGGAGATCAAACTGCTCTGCAGCTTCAAACTCGGCATTCATGGCCGCAGCCCACTCATCCAGCTCCGACTTCTGGGGGAAGAGAAACAAGGGCAGGTGAATGGACAGTAGGGGACATGATGGCCGGAACATCTCACCCACACCCTGCTGGTGCTGCCTATCCCCCAGAAGAGCTAGACCTGAGCCCCGGTCCTGTACCTAGCACATGTGGCAGAGAAAAACCTCGCCCCTCACTTACCAGGATTTCTGGCACCTTCTTCTTCTTTCGCTTCTGTTTCACAACTACAGGAGAGATTCCAGGGAGAGTCGTGTCTGGGGCCCAGGGTTTCACAGGGACCCTGGGGGCCTCGATGAACTTTGAACCCACCACAGGTGAGACTCCAGATAAGCCTTCTGCGCCCAGCAGCCCCTCGAAGCCAAAGCAGGACCGGTGGCCCGGGGTGGAGGTGGAGGCAGAGGCAAGGGTCTCTAGTCGGCTGTAGGATCGCCTGACTTTCTTAGACATTTCCAAGTCTCTGGCATCCAGCTCCCCATCCTTGGAGCTGGACTTGGCATTCAGGATGTGCACAGGAGTGCTGGCTGGGGTGGCGGGGACATCACACGTCTTTAAAAGGTCCTCCTTGGTAGGCTCCCTGATAGGAGGGTTGTTTTCTTTTTCCAAGTAAAAAGCAATCTGCACCAGGACAGAAAGAACACCTCCCTGTTATTTGGCCAGATTACTTATTTCCAGAAAAGCCCAGAAAGATTTAAAGTGAAAAGAAAGATGCAGGCCGGGTGCTGTGGCTTACACCTATAATCGCAGCACTTTGAGAGGCTGAGGTGGGAGGATAACCTGAGCCCACGGGTTTGAGACCAGCCTGGGCAACTTGGCAAGACCTCATCTTTACAATAAATCAAGAAATATTAGCCAGGCGCGGTGGTGCATGCCTGTAGTTCCAGTTCTTTGGAAGGCTGAGGCGGAAGAATGGCCTACGCCCGGCAGGTCAAGGCTGCGGTGGCTGTGAGTGTGCCACTGTCCTCCAGCCTGGGCAACAGAGTGAGACTCCGACCCACCAAACAAAAAAAAAGATGCACAGGACAGTTTTAAAGGAAAAGAGACAAATCGGACCCTGCAAGAGACATGGGGAGGAGAAAATGATCTGCCATTGCTTCTGAAGAGTCTGCTTTTGTGACAGACCTGCCACCTCCTGGTGTTGCCAGTTGTTTCCAAAGTGTGCCCAGCATCCAGCCCCTTCTCTGTGACCATCACGTGTCAGCTCAAGACCAACTCAGCGACCTCCTGACTGCTCTCCCTGCTCTTGCCCTTGCCGACTATGGTCCATCTGTCACACAGCTGATGAGGACTGTCCTACATGCCCACCAGTCAACCAAGAGTCATCAGTCACTTGTCCTGTGCCAGGTACTGTTCTAGGCACTGGGAGTGGAGCAGGAATACAACAGGGAAGACCCCTGTCCCATTCTAGGGGAAAACAGATCATGAGAATCAGGTATTGCTAAAAGTACTACGTGTTATACAAAAACACAGAACAGTAGAGTACTGGGGTGGGTTAGAATTTAAGAAGGTGGAGGTCAAGCCGGGCTCGGTGGCTCAGCCTGTAATCTCGCGCCTTTGGGAGGCTGAGGTGAGTGGATTGCCTGAGCTTGTGGGTTCGAGACCTGCCTGGGCAACTTGGTGAGACCTCATCTCTACAATAAATCAAAAAATCAGCCGGGTGTGGTAGCGCACGCCTGTAATTCCGGCTACTCAGAAGGCTAAGGCGGAAGGATCAGGTCAAGGCTGAGGTGGCTGGGAGTGGCCACTGCACTCCAGTCTGGGTGACAGAGTGAGACTCCAACTCAAAAAAAAAAAGAAGATGGAGGTCAACGTAGGCCTCACCGAGGTGACATGAGATACAACTTGAGGGAGTAACCCATGTGGACATCTGGAGGAAAAGCGTTTCAGGCAGTGGAAAGAGAAGGTACAAAAGCCCTGAGGTCAAAGTGTGCCATCAGGGTCAAGGAGCAGAGGCCAGCGTGGCTAAAGTGAAGCAAGTAAGGGGAAAGGAACTGACGCTGACGTTGGAGAGGCAACAGGGGTGGGGGAGGGGCAAGGGGCAGTGGTGTTACAGGGTGCTCTGTAGGCCACGGTCAGGACTTTTTGGTCTGAGAGACCTGGGGAGCCATAGTGAGGCTGAGCACAGGAAAGGCGTCATCAGATGCATGTATTCAGCGACTAGCACGCTGCCTCCTCATAATCCCACTATCAGCCCAAATGCTGCTTTCTCAGGGAGACTGTCCCTGACCAGTCAGCTCCTCCTCACCTCTGCTATTCTATGACATTTTTTTTGGGGGGGGGAGGTAGGAGTCTCACCTGTTGCCCAGGCTGGAGTGCAGTGGCACACTCACGGCCGCCGCAGCCTCGACCTGCTGAGCTCAGGTGATCCTTCTGCCTTAGCCTTCTAAGTAGCTGGAACCACAGGTGCATACCACACCTGGTCAATGTTTTGATTTACTGTAGAGACGAGGTCTCACCAAGTTACCCAGGTTGGTCTCAAACCCCTGGACTCAGGTAATCCTCTTGCCTCCGCCTCCCAAAATGCTGGGATTATAGGCATGAGCCACCACACTCGGCTCTACGACCCCTTATTTCCTGTACAGCACAGTGCTCTCTGACTCTGGCTGCTTCACTGGTTGAACCTGTCACCCAAACAAGAATGTGCGCTTCACGACAGTAGGGATCTTCATCTGCCTGACTGCTCCTGCCTGTGCCCAGAACCTGTAGTAAAGTCCTGCATGTCGCAGGTGTTCAATGCATACTTGCTGGATTAACGTACATGAAACTTGGCTCTGAGCTTTCTAGGGGCCAAAGCAGGGGGGAAACAGGACAAATTCTATGACTCTTGTGATCGAATACAGGGAGGTAGGTTGGTATCCAGGGACATCTCCTACCTATTAGCTCTGGAGAATCTGCCCATGGGTCTTTTTGTTTGTTTTTCCCAGGGGTCTTAATAAGGGGGATGCTGAATAGAATAGCGGTCAACCATGATTATTTCTTTCTCATCTCTGCAGCCTTGCCATCATCCAGGTCCTGGCAGCTTTATCCTATCACTCAACCAACAAGAATCAGTGGCTATCAGGGAGGAGGCAGAAGTCCCTGCCCTCAGGGCACTTATGTTCTTAGAGGGGAGAGAAAGACACCAAACATGCAAGCCAATACATGATCAGAATCGCTAAGGCCTAAGGAGAACTTCCCTAAGGGTGGTCAAGGAAGGCCTCTGGGAGGAGGTTCCCATTGAGCCCAGTCCTGTGTAATGGGGCAGTCTTGTGGAGGGTGGGGGCAGGAACATTCCCCTGCCATCATGTTAGCTCAGGCCCTCACCATGTCACTTCAGGACTCCTCCCTCCATTGGGGCTCCAGGGCAGCCTTTCTGCAACCCATTCCCCAAATAGCTCCCAGAGGGATCCTTAGTCACTACCTTGCCTAAACCTCTCCAAAGGCTGCTCACAGAAGCAGGGATGATGCCCAAACTCCTGAGTGTGGCTTTCACATCGCGTCAGGATCTGCCTTAAATGCTCCCTCCCCTGCTGCAGACACATCAAACAAACTGCTGTTTCCCAAACCTCATGATTTTTCTTTGGATTCCAGAGCTCTGCAGACATGGCTTCCTCTGCCCAACACACCCTGCTTGTCTTTAAAGACTCCATTTAAGCCGGGCTTGGTGGCTCAGCCTGTAATCCCACGCTTTGGGAGGCTGAGGTGAGTGGATTGCCTGAGCCCGTGGGTTCGAGGCCCACCTGGGCAACTTGGCGAGACCTCATCTCTATAATAAATTAAAAAATCCAGTCTGGGCGACACAGTGAGACTCCAACTCAAAAAAAAAAAAAAAAAAAGAGACCCCATTTAGACATCTCTTCTTCTGTGAAACATTCCCAGAGCCACGTGGTCTTAGTTAGGTAACATCACGGCATCTAGTATTTCCTTATGCAGCCCCCCGCATAATCACTTGGTCGTTTGTCTGTTTTTCAATCGACTCTAAACCCCATCAGCTAAGAAAGATACAAGGCTTAAAGAGCTAGATGTATTAAGTTTGCAGAGGGTAATAAAGACTGGCAATGCATGCAGGTACCCAAAAGTCAATTGTTTCAGAATACTGCAAAGCAGCACCGTGGGCAGATGGGCGCAGCCGATATGTGCTGTCCAGTTCTAGAGTGACCTGGACTTCACTCAGCTAAACAGATGAAAGTGAACTCACCCTAGGGCTCCTGCGAGGCGAGTGGACAGCTGGGACCTGTGGGGACAACACCAATTGATCCCATAGCCGACTCCTAGTTTGGGCCCCCCCCATCCACAACCCCCCCTCCTTAGCCCTTACCTCTACAGCATGAGCCACAATCTTCTTCAAGACGATGGGCTTTCTGATTGGAGTGGGATGAGGTTCCTGGAGAAGAGAGACGGACATGAGCTCCACATCAGTTCAGGAGCCACTAGGGCAGGAACTGAGATATCCGGGGCTCACCTTCGGCCAGATTTCCGGGAGGATGCTCGGGAGATCAGAGCCCGATTTCCGCTGGGACCTCCGCAGAGACTTAGTAGGAGATGGGGACAGGGGTCCTGGAAAGAGAGAAAAAAATTAAGAGCTAGAGGAGGCCTCTAGGCCCTAGAGAACAAGTTCTAGAGAGAGCGGGAGAAGACTCCCCAGCAAGCCCTTTAAGGGTGCCTTCCGAGGAGAGGCAAGCCTTCTCCCGCGATGGCGCCGGGGAGGGCCATGCTTCGCTGCACGGCGTCCCCAAAAAGGCTCGGCCCCGTCTCTCCCGCGCGTCCTCCGCTCACCGGAGCGCCGAGCGGCCCCTCCGGACCGCGTTCGCCTCCCTGACATTGCGAGTCTGGGCCTCGGCCTCCTACAGCGCCGCCGCCCCCGGCACGCGCCAACCGGGAGGAAAAACGTTCGAATTACCCGCCTTGCGGGGGAGGAAGCGGAAGTGACGTCAGGCGGGAGGGCCGCCTGGCTCGGACGCCCCGCCCCTCCGCCTTCGCCTCCGCGTCAGCAGAGGCGTGGCCCGGCGGCGTGGTGGCGTCATCAGCGTGCGCCGCACCCGGAAGAGACGTGGCAGCGGAGGGATAATTGGGGCGGCCGGAGCTGAAGGGGCCGAGCGGGAGAACTGTTGAGCGCGGTCCCTGCCCCTCCGCTCCTCGGCCCATCGCTCCCGCCGGGTGGAATTGGTGCCGCGGCCGTCAGTAACGCGGAGACTGGGGTCGGTCGGGGAGGGGGCGGGGCTTG